GAGAAACTTTCTGCAGCACATTCGTACAGCCTCTAACACACTTAACTATTTGATGGGCTTATCACTGAAATTCAAATGTTCATCTATGGCCACTGGAGGACAGCCCTGATCCAGGAGCAAGGTCATCCCAATCAGGTGTTAAGCCTGGAGACTCACCCTATCTGCACGCCTCCAGCCCCCCTACATATTCACAGCCCTTTCCCCGTCCTGTCCCCAAAACCCTCCTGCCCCAGCCTCCCATGGGGACTCTACCAATCCCAGTGGTGCTGGAGTCTTGTCCAGCTGGGGCTCTGGGTAGAGGATTAAATCCTCACTGCCTGCTGCCAGCTCCCAGTGCCAGGGGAGTCTGTGCTCAGTGGCCACAGGCTACAGCCAGGGCAGCTCCAGGCTGTGATTCCTCATTTACGGGCAGGATCTGGCCCCAGGTTATCTCTCCTGCTGCTTCTGGCAGCCCAGGTCTGGTTTTGCAGCCAGGCAATAAATCTCCAAGGAGAAGCAGCTATAAGGTCTCCATCCATGGACCCCCCAAGAGAAAACAGGTCCAGACCCCAAATATTTGCCCTGGTCAGATCCCTTGCAAATGCACTCGTGGTTTTCTTTTCTGGGTACAGGGAACTCCCAGCCTGAAGGATGCCACCTCTGATTGCATCAGCAGGCTTGCAGATGCAGTTGATAGTGGGTGGGGGGAGAAATCCTTTTCCAGGGGCAATAAACCTAGGACAGCTTTGGGAGTGGTTTCTTGGCTCTTGGTGAGTTGATTCACTGTGCACTGCTAAGATAGAAAGGGCTCCAGGGATGCTTTTCACCAGCATCCAAATCCAACACCCTCCCCCCAGGCTGGCCCCAAAGCACCCCATCTCTGGGGCTGCCTCAGCACCACTGGGGTGATGAGTGTCAGGGCTCTGCACACCCAGCTGTGCCCAGCTGTGCCTCTGCAGCAGCAGGACCCAGCAGGTTGACGGGTGGCTCTGGAAGCCCCCAGCAACTGCAAATGATCAACCCCAGGGGGATTTTTTCCTCCCCTCGGCTCTGGAGTCAATTGTCAGCCCTGCTTTTAAAGACACCCTTGTCGGCAGCCCGGCTATGCTTTTCTGCTTCGGAGGAATTCCTCTAAAACAATAATAGTGACATTGTTCCTCACTTTGCTGGCGGTTTTATAGGGCTCACGTTGGAGAAAGGTGACCATGGCTGCCTTTTGGCCACATGTGTTTACACAAGGAAATGCATGTGGGTTTTGGGGTGGCGCCTGGAGTCAGCAGCCGCTCTCTGTACTCCTGACCCTTACAGAGCTGCTTTCTTGCTTCTGGGTACGTTTACTGCACTCCAGATGTGAGCTGGCTCCAGCAAGGCTGCGGAGCGCCAGGGATCTGGCATCCCCAGACTCATCAGTCCGTGGGGTAGAATGCCATGGTGGTTGTTTTAAAAGCTGTAATGCGTCTTGGTAACACATCATGATTTATTCAGCCCTTGTTTGACAGGGCGCCTTTATCAAAAGCCGATGCGAAGCCCGGGCTCGGCGGCGTGGGCTGGAGAGGGTGGCTGGGAGCTGCTCCTTCCCCAGGGATGGGCTTTCTGGTGGGGTCCCCACTGTGCCACCCACCCTGAGGGGCTGCATTTGGGGACACCTGTGCTGTGGGTGCACCTCCACACCCGGGGTTGATTGAGGTGTTGAAGAGATGAGCCCTGAAGGGCTTTGAGCAGCTCAATGTCCCTGCTGCCAGCAGCAGGAACCACTGCAGGACCATGGGGTGACCTGGGAGTGACAGTGCCACGGTCTTGCCTGGCAGAACCCAAGCTTGCTGTGGCCTTGCTCTTGGGCACACGAGAGAGTGGCTGGAAGGAGGGGAAAGAAGTGAAAATGGAACTGGGGGAAAACCTGGGTGAAACCAGAGCAGAGCGTGGGCAGCGAGGGAGCCCCAGGGAGGCAGAGCAGTGGCAGGGCTGGGGAGTCCCTGCCCACCCGCAGATCCCAGCACCCTGACAGCTGCCCTTCTGCTGAAACCCTGCTCTGTTCCACTTCTCTGCCCTTCAACCAGATAAACCACAAAACACAGTTACAGGGAAAAGGGGAGGGTGCAGATGGTTCCCAGCCTGAGAACAGCTCACTGCTGGCCTGGGCTGGCAGCGGAGAGGAGCCCGAGCAGGGCAAACCCTGCCCTGGTGCCAGGGCTGGCACACACCTGACAAGCTTTGGGGGAGCAGCCCAGGATGGGGTGACTGGCCCTGGCATGGGCAGGGCTTCCCCAGCCCTGCATCCCTGCTCCAGCCCCAGCCTCCTCCAACCCCAGCTTGGTGCCTCCGAGGTGCCATTCCCATGGGCACGGCCGGATGCAGGACGCTATAGCCCGGGATTAGGAATGAGCCTCTGGTTTAGAGATATTTATTTGCTTTTATCATAATGGGAAAAAAATGCAACAGCAGATAGAAGAGGAAGGAAAAAACCCCAATCTGGGTCAGGATCTCACACTGGCTAGTTCACTTCACAGTTTAAGTAAATAGTTCTCATCCCAAAACCCTTCAGGGTCATATAAATGTGCCTCTTCACATGGAAGAGACTATTTTGATAGTAGCTGGGTGCCTGATGAATTTGCAACTTTCCCAAACTGTTGGTGTCTAGAATGTGACTCGGTTTTTCACAGTGAGATATAAAATCCTATCAATTAATCTAACTTTTATTGCACCTCTGGGGCATGAACGTGATGTTATTTAAACAAATGGTTCCCATTACCTTCAATTATTTTATAAATGTTTTTCAGTGATTTATAGGCTTCTATTAAATGGACAATATACTTCTGTGCTCCTCGAGGGGGTAAACAGTAATCTAAGGGCTTGGGTTTGCTGATCTTTTTTTCTTTCTCTCCTTCCTTTTCCACAAGCATCAGAGGCTGCCGGTTAATTAACGGGGAGGTGGGGAAGAGCCCGGCCAGACGCCCTGCTGACGGCTGCCTTCCCTGGACCCTGGGCCCAGACCCAGCTCCCTGCACTGACACCCCATTTGCACTGTACCCCGGGGGTGCTGCCCCTACCCCCATCACCCACCAGGCCCCCACCCACCTCCCTGGGACGCCTCCTGTCTCCCTGCCCCAAAAAACCCTCGTGCTGTGACAGTGATGGTTATCCTTGATGTTTTTCCCAGTGTCTTTGCCCACCAGCTGTGCTTGTGCTGACTCGAGCAGCGTGTGAAAGGGATGCAGCCGGCTCCGGCAGGGCTGGGATCTGCCTGGGGGTGTCGGGATTGTTCGGCAAGGCACGAGGGATACAGGTCTGCTGCTCAGGAGGGGACAGGGAATGAATACCCTGCTCCTCTCATACGTGACTGAAGTAATTCTTCCTGCCTGCGATGGAGATATCCCTGCAGTGCCTCATGCTCTGGGGACACATGACACTGCCACCAGCAGCCACCACTCCCCTGTTCCCCTCATAATCCTGTGGGGACCAGCAGCCCTGAGCCCCAGAAATGCTGGCATGGGGAAGGGACAACAGGTCATTTTTGCCAACCCAGACTCTTCTCCCAGCGCTTTCCTTCCAGGCTGGATGTCGGGGGAGGCTGGGGAGGGTCAGAGCAGCAGGACGAGCCAGCGGTGGGGACGGCGCAGAGGCCGCTTATCTGTGCGGGGGTCACGCCAGGACGTGGTTTCTGGAGCAGTGACCCCAGCACAGGACCCCATCCATCTCCCTGCCACGGCCTCCCCTGCTAACCCTCAGTGCTGCACGCTGACAGACAGGACAGCAATTAAGTCCTCGCTGAACTAATTCACTTGAGCCTGTCTACATTTCAAACAGCCCTGAGATAGGCTCTGTTTACAGAGCCTGCCGCCGTTTATTATTTTTCTGGGGGTGTTGCATGGACTGGGGAGGGGAGGTGACATTTGGGGAAGATAAATAGGGCAGAAGACCCTGTAAAGACAAAGGGCTGAGCATGGCCTGGCTCAGCCTTGGGACAGGGCTGCAGAGGGGCAAGGAGAGCCTTTCCCAGCTCCCAGCACCAGCTGAGGACGTGCACAGCTCGGTGCACGCACCCAGGGCTGCTCCCAGCCATCGCCTGGGCCACCCTGGTGCTGCTGGAGGCAGGATCTGCTCCAGCACAGGGGTTGCTTGGATGGACTCCATCCCTGCTAATGAGGACTGTGATAATTTATAGGTGATCCCTGGCACATCAGGGCCCCGGTTTCACGGACACCCCTTTCCTTCCTGCCCCCGTGCTGGGCTGTGGCACACCTGCCCAAGCTCCACAGGGCTCCTGGCATGACCCTCAGCCCCAGGACCTGAGCCCCAGCTCAGCCCCTCTGCTGACCAGCGAGCCCATGACCACCCAGGGGTAGCGTTATCATCCTGTGTCCTCCAAAACCAAACCCTTGTTTTCCCAAAAGGCCAATCCCCACCTCCCAACCAGGGCAGCGCTTTTCCAGCAGCCATGCCCAGATTTCTGCCGGGCGCTGGTGGCAGGGGTAGCCCACGGGCAGACCCCCACGGGTATTTTTCTTGGCAAACAACAACTCCTTCCAAGTTGTTAAGCCATTGAAAATAGCTAATAAGGTTTTACTTAATTAAACGGCGCGAGGCCTCACAATGCTGGTCGTCACTTTTTCCCTTCGCCTTGCATGGCTGCGACATCCCAGATGGGAATTATCAGGCCCTGCTCCGGACAGGGAGTGCACTGAGGGCAGCTGCAGAGCTACTGATAAATAATAATAATAATAATAAAAAAAATCTATACCTACCCCCTTGTCTTTCCTTTGCTTAAATCAGGTCATGTCTGGAAGACAAAAACACTGCTTGGGAGTCAGGGTTTGGAGCGATACAAAGGGGAGTCTTGTCTGAAAGGCCTGGCCGGGAGTCAAAGCGGCGCGGCGGTCGCAGTCCGGGCTGTTTGCACAGCAGCCACTCCGAAATCGTATTTCACTGCAGCAGCAGAGAGTCTTCATCGGGTTTCTCCAGATTTGGGCTCGGGTCTATTTCTCGCTGCAAGGTTATTAAAAACACTTGAACCTGAAACAGACTCATTGTGTCCACACGTTTGCTATTTATTATTATAAACAAGGGTGTCAGGGCCATTAAAAATAAATCCAAACGGTAAAAAATGAGCAAAAAATACAAGGAAATGAAATGATTGAAAACACCCATCCCAGCATCCAGGGCTGACAATTCCCACTCGCAGGAATGCCTCTGTGCTGGAGAGCGGGAAAATAACTTCTCATTTTTCTTTTCAACCAAACTGCATCCTTTTCCCAGCTGGGGAAGCCAAGCTGAGGGGAATGGAAAGAGGAGCAGATCCAACTCCCAGTCCTGGCTCCAACCGCTCCCGGACCCTGACCGGGATCGGTGCCGGCACACGTTTGCTCCCACCAGGGGATGTGGGTGTGGCATCTCGAGGCACATCACCCACTGCAAAGTGGCCACCAAGGACACAGCAGGACATTCCGTGTGCCCACGAGGGCGTCTGCAAACCCCAGCGGCTCCTCAGAGCCGGGGGAAGCTCCGTGGCTCCGGCTGGGCCGAGCCAGAAACGCTGTGTGAGAACATCAGCAGAAGCCCACTGTCCCATTTGAAGGGCTCTGAGGGCTCCTCCGTGCTCCCAGCAGAGCAGCCTGGGGACAGGTCCCGAGGTGCTGGCTGTTCTTTTCCCAGAGCCAGGATGCACAGAGAGGATCAACACTGGGATGAAGGATTACAGAGGATGCAGAAGGAACAGTATCAAGAACGAAACCCCCAAAAATCCGTGATTGTAAATGAACTGTGGGAGCTGCAGACATGGACAAGGTCCAGCTGGGCACACCTGGGGGCTGAATGGTTGGGAAAAGCCACTTCATCACAGCACTCTTTTTAGAGCATTAATAAACGAGCAGAGAAGCTGCATCCTGCTCCCGTTGACACCAGGACACGTCAAAAACGTAGGTGTTATTGCACACAACACTAAAAGCGGTGCTTGTGGCATTACGAGTTAGAAAAGTTTCCAAAAGCAAGATCTCTCAGCTCTGGCATGGGAAGACACCCCAGTCAGTGCCAGTCCCAGGGCCTTGCTGGTGGCTGAGACTCTGAGGCAAGAAATGGCACGAGCCAAGGCACATGTCAGCACGGCTGCTTCTCCAGCTGATCCGATAATCCCATTAAAAACATCGCTTGGAGATTTTCCCCTTCCACACCCAGGGCAGTTCCTGCAGCCGCCTCACCCTCTGTGGACAGACTTTGCAGCTGCTCTCCTGCCTCCAGCCCCACACCAGCCCAGTCCTGCCTCGGGGCTGTCCCACGGCACAGAGGAGATGGCTGGAGGCAGGTCAGGAACAACACGGGAATGGGACAGGAAAAGTGCAGGGTAGAAACAGACACCTCTTGGACGGTCTTGGATTCACCTGGAGCAGCGCAATGGGGTGTGTACAATAAATGCCACACGCGGGGCTTTAGCAGAGCCATTCCAGCTCAAACCCTGAAAATTTACAGGTTACAACTGCACATTTCTGCCTTAGAAAACTTCATTGCTTGTAAACAGAGATAACTGATCTAAAGCACAGCAGGTGAACTGACAGTAAAACACCTCACTCTGCCAAGCTGGTTTAAAAATCTGATGTCCTAAACTTTTTTTCTTATTGTTATTACAGTTAATGCTACACCCCAGGGTCGAACACCACAAGGCATCAGATGGACGGATACGACCCACAGGTCACTCATAGGCTCTGCAAACACCCCAAAACCTGGCAGGGAGAGGCAGGAGCAGATGGCAGGGAGCAGAGCAGCCACTGGGAGCCCTGCCTTCTCCTGGGAACACTGTTCCTTAATTAAAGGCCCTTTTCCCTCACTGCTCCACAGGTTTGGATTTTCTGGCAGTCAGTAAATGAAATGATGGCCCCAATTTCAGGACCTCCTGTTCAGCGCCCAATACAGCAAACAAACATCTGCCGTGGTGGTATTTCTGGGTTTTTCAAGCAGACCTATAAATAAGTTCTGTGTTTAGCAGTTCACTGTTTCAGAGAGTGTTTGGCTGGGCTGACTGTGCCCAGTGAAGCTGCCAGGTGCTGGATGAAGACACCACCTTACACCAAGCCCTTCAGCCTATAAATGTCAAAATTCGTTTTGTTAAATCCAGCCCAAACACCTGAATTGTTAAATCCTCCCTTTTTACCCATGCCCTTAACACCTGTGGCTTCCAAACCTTTCATACTAAAAAAACCCTTCCGTAAGGTGAACTCCCCCTCTGCACCTCACTCCGAGCAGGGATCCCAGGGATCTCCAGGGATCCCAGGTAACAGGACACCCACAGCCCCAGGACGTCTCCTCAGGTTTTAATGCAGCCACTCCAAAGGAAGGAGGCTGAGCTCACCTGCTGCTCTCACTGCAGGCACCAGCCCTGGGGTGTGAACTCAGCTCCTGGAATCCGGCCCCAAGACACTCTAATCCAAGGAACAGCATTTGCCTCTGTAAATAACCATCCCACACCTCCAGCAGGGCCTGGCTGTGCTGTAAAACACAATCAGTTTGGGGCTAAAACAGCCAGGTCTGGGAGAACCAAAGCACTAAAACCCGATGAAAATGATGGAAAGCATTAGAAGGATCTTGTTTCACAGCAGTGGGAGACCAGAGGGGGTCATTTCTCGTCACTCATGTTTGAACACCAAAGCTCATGGGTGGCATTAGCCACATTTCAGGAGAGGAACCACACATCAAAAACTCACTCTGTTTTTTTTAATACAAGTATTAATTAAAACCATGGTTCTACACGGTGGAGTTATGAAATCCTCCCCTTCTGGCAGGCCTGCACAAGCCAAAACCAAGCTTAAAACGAGTGGACAGTGACCCTTCACAAGAAGGGACATTGAAAGAGTTTTTGTTGCACTTGTGGGGCAAGGGGAGGAGAAGGAACACAGGCCCCAGGACTGTGTTTTGCTGGGAAGCATGACGACATCCAGGGAAGGAAGGGAACACTCTTAGCCTTCTGGCCTAAATTATCTGCTAACACAAATAATCAAATTCCAGGGACCACACTGCTCTGGCGCCACTAAAACAAGGGGGAGGCCCGGCCCCAGTGCTGCGTGAGCAGGTGGCAGCCCGAGCCTGACCCGCTCAGGATATTCAAGTGCGATGTACAAAATGCTGGTGCTCTCCAAGGAAGCCAGCAGCGCTCACAGATCGTGGGAAGTTTTTAATGGCTCACTCAAGGCAAGGCCTCTGAAATGTTTATATTCATACGTACATGTTGGACAGCCACTCACTGGGTCTCAGCTGGAAACCAGTCCAAACAGCTGAGAAACATCTGGCCGCTAACCTTGGACAGCATCTAATCTGGTAGCCCAGGGATTTAAGAGGTCTCTTCGGAGGGACAGAAGTTTGGCAGATCCTTCCTGAGGTCTCTGTTCTGCTGTGGTTGTTTCTCAAGTCCCGCTCACTGCTCTGGGATGACACGTACAGCCGATGTACACCCCGATCCCACTCACAGCATCCCAAATGACTGCACAGAGCTGCAATCAGACGCTGCTCCTAACGGCCACGAACACTCCTGAAGGTGTGGGACTGTCTGTGCTCCCCCTCTCTCTCTCAGGGAGTCACAGCAGCTCCTTTCCAGCTCACCAAACCAAGCACCCCTGCCCTGCCCCAGCCCATGTGTGAGCAGCACCAGAGTCACCAGCCTTCCAGCTTCCCCTCCACTTGTCTTCCCTCTGCCTCCACTTACTACCAACAAATCAGCCCCAGAAAGCCCCCACCACCAGGCAAACAAAATCCCCCTCTCTGTAGATCTGCAGACCACGGTCAGGCCAATGAGGAACACGTGCTTTTAAAGCAGCTCCACGCAAAGAGCAGGGAGGGGAAACGGCCTCATCATTTCTGATGAAGATGGCTCAAAGTTTACAACCGTTTTCCTTCCAAAACTCCTGCTTGGTTGCTTTTTTCCTCCCAAAGAAACTTCAGTTTTGGCTATCCTGAAACATCCTTTGGTGAGTGGAAAGCTAACAAAGTAAGACACCATAATAGAGGTTGAGTAATAGAGAGAGGGAAGAGACTTTTAGAGCATTGGACATTTACTCTCCCCTCCTATTACCCATGGAGGTTCTGCAGGGCTTTCTAGACATGTCAGGGCAAAGCCACCAACAACCTGGCTCAAGAGGCAGAAAATCAGGACAGGACCCACATTTCTGAAAACCCTTTGTAGGCTTTATTTAAGAAGAGATAAGGATGAAAAAAGGTGACAAGATACTTGACAGATAAAACGCTGAGCATCCAGTTTATCTCCCTATCCTCCACATCATCTTCTGCTCTTTACATTTTCCCTGATGTCGCCCACATTTGTTGTCACAAAAAGCAAAGGCACAAGCACTAGGGATGTAGCACCAAGAATAGAGGACGAGGAAGAAGATGCTCAACAAGGGCTAAAAAAGCCTCTTTCCTAACAGAGGCTGAGCATGCTGGCTCTGGTCCAACAAAGCACTTAAGCACTTGCCTAACTTAAATTTGCCTTTACTGGGGCTCTTCACAGCCTTAAAAGTTCAGCACATTCTCCAGCAATGTGCTATAGTACGACCAGAGAAAACGAGGAGCTATTGAGGGACCAGAATCTCAGTCAGCAGCCAGGTTAGCTCCCCCGGAGCACACCATCCAAAGATTAATGCAACAGGGCAATTCCACTGACTTACAGGGCAAATCCACTCTTAAGCCATCAGAAAAAGCTTATTAAATATAAAACAATAAGTAAAAAACCTTAGCTATTAAGAATATCAAATTCTCTTCAGCTTCTTTCAGCTCAAGGGAGGTAGAGCTTGACACAGACACTTATTTACAGGTATGTGCAGAACTGGAACCCCCTTGTTGCAGGTAAGTCGGTGCCAGCTTGAAAAAAACCACACTGAACCCACTGTGCTGTTTCTTGGTGTAGGAAACACTGTCCTGTGGGTAAAGCAGCAACCTCAGGTGCCAAAGGGCCGGTTCCCACAAACAGCAAGGTCAGCCACAAACAGCTCTGCCAGGCCGGCAAGACACGACAAGTATTTGGCAGAGGAGCAGGAGCACATCCCACTGCACATCCCTGCGGGCTCTGAGTCCCTCAGCAGAACTGACCCAGCTTTACACAATCCCTCTGCCCTCGCCTGCCCGGCAGTGCCACGGGAGCTCCAGGACTGGGGCTCTGAGATGAAGCACCGGATCAGTGCGTGCCCAAGGCCGACGGGCACGGCCGTGCCCACCCGCCCCTCTGCCCTCTCTGTGTCTGCGTCTGACACCAGGACGAGCCACACACAGCAGGGGGGTCTTGGAGAGCGGCTGATGACACTTTCTGGCTTAAAAATTGATAGTGGAAGAAACTGAAATTCTAAATATAAAGCAGTGCACGGAGCTGTAAGAGAGCAGACAGCACATACTCCCTACATACACACACAGGGCCTAATTACAACACAGCAAGAATCAACCAACCATTAGTCTTTATTAACAATTAATATCTCACTGAGATGCTGGTGTTCCCCCAGCAAGTTAATGCCTGTACAGTGAGACAGTTGCAATAAACAGGTTTTTAAAATTGAAATTGATTCCGGATAAATATGAAAAGTGGTTCCCACAAGAGGACGTAACATTTAAACCAAGCAGCCTGAGGCAGCCCCAGCCTTGGGAAGCTTTCTGGCTCCCTCTGCCGTCTCCGAGGATGAGCTGAGGCAGAGGCTCACTCCACATCCTCGGGAAGCACAGGCAGGTGAGGGAGAGTCCAGCACCCTCAGCACAGGGATGGCTCATGGCCCCTCTGCTGGTGGCAGTGCAGGGCGAGCTCCTGCTCAGCCCAGCCCCAGCACCTCCAGCAGCACCTGCTCCAAGGAACAGCACTTAATTTTATGGCCAATCAGCTTATTTTATTTATTATCCCTTCATACTCTTCTCCAAAGAGACACTGGTTCAGGACATAAAGTGAGGGCCAGCAGTGATCAACTGGAGCACTTTGCCTTTGCGCTGCTGAGTTCACATAAACACACGTACAGCACAGTTTCGTCGCCCCACCTCATTTCTGAAGCACCAACATGCACCAGGCTGTGGGATGACCAGTCACTTCCACTGTGCAGGTCACACCCCCTGACAAAGCCACCACACACAGATCCATTGGAAGATCATTCCCTGGGCATTATTTTTCCACACCAACCCTAACAGGTTGAGTGGAACAGCAAGAGAGCGCTGATGTGTCCACAGAGTGCAACTCCCAGGGCAGAACATTCACAATGAACCAGGTCTTTTTTAAAAGCAGCACCCAACTTTGTATGGCAGATGCTGCTAAGTGACTCTTGCCAGCACAGCTCCCAGCCAGGATAGAATGCTCTAACCTGTACACCTTGCAAAGCAAACCACACTGGGAAGTTTTTAAAATCATTACTTGAAGTAGGAAGGTTCGGGGAGGCCTCAAACATGCACCAACCTCCCAAACAGGGCAAGGACACTCTGAAAACCAGAGACAATCAAGCAGCCCACTGTAATTATCCACTGTAATTGTTCTGATGCCCATTTACCATCTTTGACATGAAGCTATTTTAAATAAGCACATACACATGACACTGACATAGTATTAATCACATTGTCTTCACAGACACCCTCTGGGCTGCCCCAGAAGGAACAGTTTTTACTCCAGGCCAGAAACCAGCAGCAAGTTTCACAAAGGTTATTCCCTTTTTCATTCCCAACCCAGGCAGAACCTTTTTCACCCCAACACTGCGGTGAGTGCACGAGGACCTTCCAGTAAATCCTCTGAAGTGGAGACACTTACACTCGGAAAAGGCCAAAATTTCACAGCTACGTTTTCACCCAGATTTGGAGAGAAGCTCAGCTTGTTGCACTTCACTATTTGAGTGAAAACACTTAAAACTACAGGTTGTGAAACAGTCCTTGACCTTGGCAGACAGCATAACATGCATCTGTAGAGGATTCGATTTCCTGGGGACAACAGCACAGCAAGGCCACGGCACTGACAGCACACGGAGCCAGGAACTCCCTTTGGCAGCTCCTTTGCACATCCTGACCCTACCAACTGCCAAGGCTGGGGCAGCCTGAGGTTTAAACCAAAAGTACAGATGCTCCTTGGCACAGCAGCAGCAGCTGGATAGAGACAATTGCCTTTCGCCACCAGGTTACATTCTGTCAGCTAAACGTGATCTGTAGGAAGATACTTCCAACAAATCAAGAATTCCATAAGGGATCAAAATTTCTAAACATAAATACAATTAAAGCCTTCTAATATTAATGCACACTTTTTATTATATTAAAATCAGGCAATGGTCTGATACAATAAAAAGGCTGCTTATGGAATACTGTTATGTTAAACTTTCAGTACAGAGGATGTTAAATCCTTACAACTAATATTTTCCTCAAAAGTTAATGGAAACATCAATTGTTCATTGACTTGACAGCTGCTGCTTTAAAATGTGTTTATTTTTACTCTTTTCTTTTTTTCCTTTTTTTTATTCTTTTTTTTACACAAACACTGAATTTTTCATAAAACTTAGGACACACTAGGTTGGTTTCTGTAAGCTTGCATCCACATTGCAGCAGTTAGTGGTCCAAAACAGTAAACCAGAAAAGGCAGTGATTTGCCAGGATGCAAAGCCAGTAAAGGTCCTCAATCTGCTGTACAACACTTTCCCAAAATCTTCACTGAAGAGATTTCTAAGACTTACAGAACACTAATAAAAGCTACCACACGGATTTGATTTGTCTGCAGTTGTCACATCTTTAGAAGGGCCAAATGCAAGTGCAACAATTTGTTAATTAACATTCTTAGGTCAATCTAAAGCACCAAAACACAACGATTTGAGTGTGACTGGAGTGTGTTCAGAATCTCTATGTGCAGAGCTTCCCCCATTCAAGTTTGGCAGCAGAAGATTTGGGCAATCCTGGTAAATTACTGCTCTTTTCCCCACGTCAAAGCCTATCTAACAACACGGCCGTGGCCAGCTTGGCAGAGTGGCAGCAGTGCTGGAGGGGAGGGAAAATCCAAGTTTGCGAGCAGAACGGATACTCTTGTTTTCCAGGCTGGTGAAGACTAAATTTGTTGCAAAACCAAAATGATAAGCAAGAGGGAACAGGTCAAGTTATTGCCCCAACACTTACCCCTGGGCCAGGGGCGAGAAGAGTCACCAAAAGGGGCAAAAAGAAAGCAGCACCCCCACTAAAAAGAGGGGAGGAGGGAAGAGATTAAAAGAACCCTGAATCCCTCACCCAAAGCCCACGTCACTGGTGAGGGGGACCAGGAAGAGAAATACAATCTATGCCTTGGCCAAAGGAAAGAAGGAAAGCTTGCCCCAGATTATCAGGGCATTTAAAAAAAATTAATAAAAACCCAAAAACGACCACAGTCACATTCAGCCTTTACTAGAGCGAGCACAAAGGGAGGGATGACTGAGGTTAGCACACATCCCCAGTAGTAGTCCATACAGCCCAGTGTAGCACTGGAAGCAAAAACCTTTGTGTCTACTCTAATAAATAGCCCTGAGCTTCGACTCTATTGCAAAAGACAGAGAAAGAAAAAAATAACCCAGGCCAGACACACAGCAAGGTGATTGTGGGATGGATCCTTTCACAGTTAAGTTGGATGTGCCACACTGGTCTTGACAGTAATAAATTTAAATAGACTTTTCCTGATACCAGAAGTTCAGCTATGTGGACAGTGGTTACACGACAGGATTATTTGTTATAGCACAACTTATATTTCAAATGAAAAAAAAATTAGTATCATTTACAGTATCTCAAGAAAAACCTCCTTTGAATGGGAACTTCCTTTCCAGTATTTTGAGGTCTACAAGATGCATCTAGAAAATTTACTACTGTGGAAAATGAAGACAGCTTAAATTGAATAAGGGGGGCATGTTGGTTTTTTGTTGTTTGTTTGTTTGTTTTTTTAATTAATTGCTGTAACATTGTCCTTCAGGTGGCTGAGGAAGTTTCATATTTTCTTTAGACATCATTAGACGCCGAAGCTCTTGCAGAACAACTTTGATACTATAAGAATTCTGCCATTTTGCTAGGACTGATATGGCTCTGGGGTCCACCTAAAATAGACAAAAAGACCATTCCTGTCAGAATTGGCATGTTGGATACACTTAACTCCACCCACACCCCCAGCTAAAGATCCTACATGAAATCCAAGTGGGAGAAAGCAAAGCAAGCAAAAGCAAGTGTTTTCCCTAAAAGCATAATAAATCTCCACTTGTCCACTTCCCTGCTACCCCTTTTCCCCCTCTTTGAACAAACAGCACCACAAGCAGTGAGTAGTTAAGCAAGTTACAAGTATAAACAAAGCATAGGAAACTGCACATAAAAACAACATCAAAATGAACAAAAGCAAAAAACTTACCACTCCATTAGAACTATTTACTCCATTCATATTAATTTTTGTTACAAATCTTACAAATGGAGGTGCTTCTGGATACTTAGGCCCGCATTCTATTTTAAGGCTGTATATTCTGTTTTCATAAATTGTCTGAGGGGAAAAGAAAGGGGAAAAGAATTACATCAGGCAGTTCAATAAGCATTTGGTTAAAGCAGTGGCTACTTTAGGAATATGGGAACTACTAAACATAAGGGCAGCCAGTTTGACACTATGCTGGCTACCTCTGTTTTGGGTTCATTTTATAACATTCAGGGTATCTAATGTTTCTGCTTCAGGTTAATAAATTCTACTGCTCTTTTAAGCATCAAATTTTCATGTGAGGAAATGAAACTGGCATCGCTTCCCAGTCACCAGCTGAAATGATTTTTTTAATCATCATATAGCTCAGATATAACTTTCCAACCAATCTTTATGAAGCAGCTTTGTTTTAATCAGTTTTCTAATCCCACACACTACCTGGAAACCAAGGCCACAACTTTAACTTCTGATCTACAGAGTCTTCCCATCCTAGAACTGCTTTTGGGAAGTATTCTTTGGTCATAAACCTGCTGGTTCTCAGAAGGGGGAAGGCTCCAGGATTCAACACGTTTGAAAGGACATCCTGATCCCAAACAGCACTATCACTTTGGCCCCACAGCAGGAACACTGTCCCATTCCTGGTAGCAGAAATCCTGGATCCTGGGTTTGTAACTAACTAACTAACCCGTGGGTACAAAGAGAGACAAATGTAACATGGCCACATTGATTCTTCAATATTTCAAAGTCATTAGAAGGAATAACAACACTCAATGTCACTCTGCATTCTGAGAATAACTATTCTTGCTGTGCTGCTCTGGCATATCTGGCCCAGAGCTCCAGCTGAGCTGGGCAATGTAGGCAGCTGGCAGACTTACACAACAGGAACAGGATCACCACAGGGAAGTTTAGGCAGACAAGCTCTCCAGATTTAGAGCTTCTGACACCATTTCCTGCACCTTCAACATCTGCAAGGAACATTAAACTCACAGGGCAGTGACCATGAACAAAAATCCAGGTGAACCTGTGAGCTCAGAAGCAGCTCCTGCTCACCTGTGGCATCATGGCATGATGGTCCCACCGGGACTGGGCAGAGTGGCTGCCCAGTGTCCAAAACCTTCTTAGTGGAAAACTCTGTGCAATCCCTTCCGAGGCCTGGTTTGACTCTGAACAGCTTAATAATTCCCTTGGTATTAATCAATGTCTTGATGCACACCACTACCAAAATGTAAGAACTAACTTCCTGATCCAGCTGTTCCTCATCTGTGCCAAGGAAGTGTCTTCAATCCCTCTTGCACCACCAGCAGCAGGACCAGCCCCTGGCCAGCGCTGGCACCTTCTGGCTGCTCCTCAGCCACACAGCCTTTCACACGCCCAACCAGGGCAGGGGCAAATTGGGCACCGCCACAAAGTTTTGGGGGAAAATAGCCATCCATCAGCTCTGCTTGGCCTGCCCAGATCTCCTGACTGTGTCCCTGAGCTGCCTTGTGCATGGAGCAAGGAACAACCCCAAGCTTCGTGCAGGGCTTTGAGGTCTCTGTGAACGCCTGTCCCACGCAGGGAGCAGGGAGCTGGAAGCCTTGGCTGTGAACAGCCAACATAAAACATGTTGATAAAGCTGAAGCTTTAGCAGTGCCACTGTTTCTAAGTAGCCTGTATCAGCAAGGTGAACCCTTGGCTGTGGAACCATCCACACACAGCCTGGGAAGGAGAACACACCCTGTGTGTGGCCGAAGGGACACTCAGGGAACTCTGCACCACTGTTCATTTCCCCCCCAAGATATCCAACATAAGATTCTTCCACCTGCTGCAAGCACAACTGCTTTCTGCCCAGATGGAAATAGGAGTTTCCACAGCCAGTATTCCCACGTCCTATTAAGAAACAAAATGGTCATAACTGAGTACAAACTCAGTTCGTTCAGCAGGACAGCCACTGAGCAAGCAAGAATGACTGGAAGTTCCCAAAAATCTTTCTCAATACAGCCTGTTGCCTTCAAGCAATAAGTTCAAAAGATGTCAAGACACTTCTGGAAAAAATCTGCATTCCTAAGTGTGTCAGAAAGACAAGAGAGGCAGAACTGAATCCTCTCCTGTGATGGTCCCCTAGCCTCGGTTTGCAGCATGACATGAACGACAAACTTCCATCACTGCTGGCAAGGCAGCACACGCCTGTTTGCACACCCCAGTTCCCATTTAATTCTCTAAATTAGATTTCAAGGTTGTTTAAATTTTCCATAAAGTGTATGCACACAGTGAGCCTTCTTCACAGCCTTGATGCAGGCTCATTAGCACTCTCCTAATGTTCTAAAATCAAATGCTGTTCTAGAAAACAATCTGGGCACATCATAAACAAACAAAGTGATCGTGACTGGGGAGATGTTAACAAAGGCAGACAAGAAGTAAACAACACTTCTGGATGAGATGGAAAATGCTGCATGTGTAATGAATGCCATTAGAAGGTACATTCTTGTACAACCTCCCATGTCAGAAAAGGCACTGACACAATGGGAACACACAGGGCAGTGGCATGGCTGAAGGTCTGTAAAGATTTGCATGTAATGACCCCTAAATTACTGGGAAGCGATACTGAGGCCAGATGTAGAAGACAACATCTGTTATTGCAGGAAGGAGAATTGGCTCCTTGCACTCCATGGGAAGGAATTAAGGAAACAGAACAGTGAAACTGGAGACAACAGACAGGTTCTGGTTTTAGAGCACACGCACACGTACAGCACACAATTAAGTCCTCAAGTTCACTACTAAAGTGTAGATCCACAGTTTAGTAGGGCCTGGGGGGAGAAGGGAGAGCACAACAACACTCCCACAAAGACCAGTTGCATTCTAAGATGCTGCTTTGGGAGAGAACATTCAGAGAAGGAACTGAATTCATTAAAATTTGTGTTTCCTGAGTTAGCTGAAACTCTACAAGAGCAAGTCAGATCTGATGCAATAAAAATCAACCCATAAACTCATCGAAGAACAGCAGAAAGACCAGCAGTGCTGCACAGAACATCCCCTTGTCAAGCTCCACATGTAACCTCACTAGCCGAAGGATTTTAAACCTTGCAATATTCAAGAGTACAGGATACTAGAAATCTGGGATCTCAGAAGTTATGTGTTAATGGATCTGCAAATATAAAGCAGACATGTAACAGAACCAACCAGAGAAAGGCACTAAAATATTCCAAATTCGAAGCAAAAAGCAATATAGTACATGAAAACCATTATACAGAACTTGGAACTTCAACATAATTCACTTTCTGAAGTGTTTTTTAACTCATTTGTCTTTGTTTGTTTTGTACTTCAGTGGTTAAATTAGGAGAAAAAAAGAGGGAAGAAAAAAAATAACTGTACTATTTTAGGATTTAACTGGATACTTACTCTTGGAGGTCCAATAATCATTCCTGTCCATCTTGTAAGTGTCATATCTTCATCATCTTCAAGGCCCCAGCTAACTGTTCCATCCCCTACTCCCTTCTGACCTTCTTCAAGTTCTTCCAAAAGACGAAAATTACGAGGAACTTTTACTCCTGAAACAATCAGAAAAACATTTTGAGTTGAGAAATCTAATAAAGAAACAAAGCTAGAGTAATTTCCCTGATACTCGTGGGCACTGCACAGAAAACATTTTGGGCAAAATCTTAAAAATATCACTATTTTTTGAATGACAATATTTCAACATAATGAAAAAGCTATCCCATATTTAGCTTAGATTTTACAAGCAAAATCAAGGTATCCCCCAGATAAACCTGCTAGAAGGCTGACAGGCCACATGTTATGGCAGTCAGTGAAATAAAAAGAAATCTCTGTTGCCTCAAAGATACACCTGGTATATTATGGAGCTCTAATTTAGCACTTGTGTATATGATTTACAGCATGAAAATGTAGAAGAGTCTCCAAAACGACACCATGAGAGGCTTCACATCACTCGACTCACTCAGAGCTTTTAAAATACCTTTTAAAGCAAATAAAACTGTTTCATAACATCAGTAGGTTAATCTGAAGTTAATTGAAGTGGGCTTTGTCAGCAGCAATAGCATCCCTTGTACTTATGACCTCCACCACCAAGGAATTTCAGCACTTGGTAACTGCTGGCACATTTATCCTCAAAACACACAGCAAAACAGGGAAATTTTCTTATACTTATTACAGTAATGGAAAACAATGGCACAGAGAGCCTAGGTGGCATATCCAAGGTCACTAAGTCAGTGGTGAAGGAGGATCTCAAACCCAGGCCATGGTGGGCTTAAAGACTCGCTCTTCTTCAAGGTATCTGCACTTTGGGCATCACAAAACAGACACACTTGAGGTTGCTCTTTTTGTTGTGTTTGTGGGGCCACGTGTTTGGCCCCATGTGCAAAATACACATTGCTAAGGCATTGCAAAATGTAGCAGTGCTTAAAACTGAATAACTGCAGTAGCATAAAAGTTTCCTTCCAATACATTAAGGACCTAAAGAAATTAAATGTCAGAGATGATTCTGCTGCAGAATCGGTGTGGTCCAAATTTCATTCACTACAAAGCATGCATGAAAGAAACCAAACCAGTAAATTACTACAGAGTTCGTTGGCCAGTCTGACACACACCTAACGTGGTCATGCTGAAGAACATTCCGGGGAAACACAATTCAGTAACACAGCTGCAGCAGCAGCAGCACGATGAGGAGCCCACACCCAGAAGAGCAGTGTCCACAGACACCAGACCTGCACTAAACCAAACCTCGTTCAGGGGCTGCTGAGCACGACTCCAGCACAGCTCCCTGCCAAATCCCCTCCCAGCCAGGCCGTGCTGTTTCCATGGAACACAGATCTTTGGCTGTGAAAGGAAATGAGTCAGTTGGGGCCGGTGAAGCCATCACCATGGGATTGCCCCGAGCACCAAACCCTGGGTGGTAACAGGACCTCCTGGGCACCACTCTCACATCCCCTACACAATGAACTCCAGCATTTCCTCTCCAAGAAAGTCTTAAAAGTATGAAGTGTGTATCCTGTGTACCTCAGGCATATGAAGGTTCAAGTATGCAGGTTATGCCTGACCCTTGAGAGACGAGCCACCCCATTCTTAATTCTATTCCCAACACTCTCCACGCTGCAGTCTGGGGAGGCAGAGCAGCCCAGCTCCAGCACCGGGGATACAAGAGCTGGGGGACAAGAGAAACAGATGGAGCAGGAATTGAAGGACAAGGTGCCACCTTTGCTTACACACACCCCAACTATTTTCCTGGTTTTGCTGCAGTGGATGCACAGGAGAGCTGGTGATGGGGAATGATTTACAGCACGCAGTGCCCAAAGCCACTGTCTGGGCTTCAGCCCTGCCCCTGAAAGGAAGGGTCAGGGGAGAAGGGAAAGCAGAAGGTCCTTGTGGAGGGGGACTCCACTTTCAGTCTGGCACAGCAGCTCTTCCACAGCGCAGGTGATGCCACAGAGGGAACTCTGTGGCTGTTACCACACCCCCAGCCCGAGCCCCCCAACTCCAGCAATCAGCCTGGGCCCCTGAACACCTGCCTGGAATGTGTCACAGAGCCAAAAAACCACTCTTCCAGACCACACCATCACAATGCTTAACAAGCATCATCTCAGCACTTCGGTCCTTGACTACAACCCTTCATATTCATCAGTGGTGCAAAGACAATTTACTGACATTTACTCAGGCCAAACCAAACAACCCAGGAGGAATCAGCTTTATGGCAGACACAGGCCACACATCAAAGAAGGAGACCACAAATACTGCCTGTCCACCCTTCCTCTGAGCATCACCTCTGAGGGATTCCTCTGAGCATCACGCCCTGTTCACTGAGGGAGACAGGAATCCCCGTGAAGAAAATTAAGAGAGCATGTAATTAAAAATGACATCATCATGTATATATTCGAGCAGGCCACAACCAAGGCTGAAAGGCAGCCTTAGTTCTATTTGCTAATCAGAGGCTTTACAACCTTACGGGAAGGGAAGGCAACTTTATTGCTGAGCTCTCCCCAGATACAGCTGCTCTGATTCAGCATGAATCCAGCATGAATCAGAGCCATAAAAGAGTCACACAGGACCTTGCAGTTCTCTGGCAAGCCTGAGGTCTCCAGAGAGCTGGCGAGTCATATCGTGAGCTGGCTCCTATCACATGGAAAACGTTACCATAAATGAGTGCTAATTCCACAGCAACTGCTCACTTGTGAGCACTGCAGGGCCACCATGGCAAAGGGAGTGCCCAAGGGAAGTACATACATTTGAGGTTTTATGCACTTCACAGAAAACAAGGTGATCATGGCAGATAATTGGTCACTTTATAACCAATGACCCTGTCCACGCTGCCCCCTAAAAATGTGGTAAAGCTCAGAGGTGTAACATTGAGGACCATCACCTCAGTCACTACAGAACGTGGTAATTCTGCTCCTTCCCTGACACATTCTCAGGAGATTCACACAGCAGAAGGAAAATCACACATATACATATAGAAGACTATGCTTTAAATAATTTCTAAACAACCTGCCCTTAAGCAAGGCAGAACACAAGACCAGACTGACCCTTCTGGTCAGCCAGGAAAGATGCACATGGCCATTAAGCCAAGCCCAGCTCCTCTTCACTTGCAAAGGCCTGGAGCACTCATGGTCCACCACCACATCCTGCCAGGACCTGAACCTCAGAACCCACACGGACTTTGTCACTTGTGCTCCTACACAAATACATCATCATCATGTTTGCTGCCCACCAAGATTCCTAGAGGGTGATTGGATCTGTTCTAGGCACACACAGTATTTGCCAAGTGACTTCCATGGCTAAACCATGGCAGATGCAGAGCCAGGAGATGTCCTGGCTGATCCACTGACACAACCATGAGCTGCCTGTGTTCCCTCCTCCCACCCCCCAATAAATACCTTGCATAACCCTTTCAGTGTAGCAATGGAGATTTCCAAGGCAGCAACCAAACTAACCTGTTTTTCTAAGAGCCCTTCATTTAACACAAGAAAACCTATGCGAAGTGAGAGGCAATTAAAAAGTAATCAACTTGTCTAAAGTACTTTCAGTTATGCATTTTGTCTTTACTGTGGTTCAAGATGGCTCTCAAATAGCAGTTTCATTTGAAACAAAAATACAGTAATATTTCAATAACTGCTTCACTTGCAGCTTGCCTGACCTCACAGAAACACGCCCAGAAATGGAGCTGAAAATGTATTTCAGAGCAAAAGGAGATATTTACTATTAATCACAACAGCAAACCTGTGAAAGCTAAATCATAACTGTACTGAGCAGGGAGATCTCCAATGACAGACTTGTACAGTCCTTCTAAAAGTTCACCTTTCAGTAACGTGCGCTGGTGAAGCCTCAGCCCCACACACTAGTTCAGCAGTTACACAAAATTACTGAAATCACTTTATGGCAACTAAAGAGCAGAACTAAACCACACACTGAGCTTTCCAGAAAGTCAGGAAATGTACCTTACACCTTGCAGACCTCAGAGTTGCAGTTAAGCAGCTGCTTGGTTTTGGGTGATGTGACATCCTCTTCAGCCTTCAAGACCTTCTGTTCTCCTGGTCAGAAACCCCCCTGGCACCTCACAACCCAGCTGTTTGCTAAAGCAGTGAGTTGCAAGACAGAGCCAGCACACTGAAATGGGGACAAAAGGAGTGTGACCATGTCTGGTCAGAATCTCACTAAATTATTCCTGGAAGACATTTAAATGTCAGTGTGGACTTTTAAAGAGCTTAAAGCACTCTCAGATTTACCTTTTATCACGGCACTACTAAAGGCACACAGATGCTCTTACAACAGTTTTAAGAGTGATCCTACCAGTCTGAGATTTTTCTCAAATTTACATTCCCATGAAGTTCACAGTACATTTGTACCAAGTTAAAAATGATACTTTCTCACAGACTACACTTTTCCATCTTTCCATTTTCCTCAGTTACACAGCAGAAGCAATTCCAAATCCAGAAGCCTTAGAAGCTGAGAACAGCACAGTGAAACCAGGTGGGCAAGGTGCCTTGGGAGCAGATCCTCTTCTCAAGCATTTTTGATCAGTGTCAGTAGAACAAAGCACACACCTCTCAAAAACTTCAAGAACATGTTTCTCTCTCCTTTCTAAAGTGAAATTCAATCACAAGCATTTCTCTTCAGGACTAAAGAACAGGCACAGGGCACAGCACACCTCAGCAAAGTATCCAGAAAATGCACTTCACTCTCATGGGGCTCCAAAGAGAGGAACTGTATTTTGCTGAAGGTTTCTCAATATCTTCACCGATAACAAGCAACTTATCAAACTGGTCTTTATGGACAACTTAAACTCTGCTTTCTGTACTAGTTCCTGATTTACAGTAACTCAAGGGAGCTGAAATCCAACAGCTTTAAACACCTCTGTTGCTTAATACATTAAAGGGCCTTCTGTTGCTTGATTCTGTGTATTTGATATTCAGCTTTAATTACATCCTTTCCAATATATGTCTCATCTCTTCGGAAAGATTGCAACTACTGCCAATTGGATAAGCTTACCCTTGCAGCACTGGGACTGTAAAAAATATGTAAACATTCCCTGTCACAATGGTATATAAGGTTTCTGAAGTGATGGAATATTTAAAACTGAATCAAAAGCTTTCAGCAATTGTCCCAAAAGCTTTTGGGACACAGGAACTTCACATTTCTTGCATCATCTTTACAGTCAGGATTTCCACTCTGACGATGCAGACAGGTATTCTGCAGGCCCAAAATTCCTGTGCCCTTGAAACAATCTGAGTGTTTTCTTTCTGTGTAAGTTTGAGTGCTCGTTCTACCTTTCAATACTTTAGGCAGGCCACTTGAAAAGAGATCACTTAGTCTGAGGCAGGCTGGCAGCACCACTCAGGTCTGAGGCCAAGCACAGCTTTCCAGCAGCAGCAGAGTTAAAATCAGGTGATTTCTGTGCTTGTATCACAGCTGAAAAGCAAACACTTCCAGTGCAGTGACTCTAGAAAATAAGTCACCCTGAACTGGTGTCCCGGACCAAATCTTTACACTTCATCTCCCCAGGGAAAAACCCACCATTTCCTTTGGCACTGTGAGAAGAAATGGTTGGGACTGAGGGAGAGCCGCTCTCCTGCTGGCCCTCCTGCCACAGAGGCTGGCTGGGTTTTCCCACATTCACACCACCCACAGGTGAGGGCAGAGCACAGGTCTGCAGACAAGCCCTGAAGAGCAGGCGCTGACACTGCTGGGCTGGGCTGTGCCAGCACAGGCAGGATGTGCCCCCCGGGCCCTGCCCACACCCGGGAGGGCACAAACCACCAGGAGGGGGAAGCAAAGGGACTTGGAATAGTTAAAACACACCTTCACAAGCTGAAAATCCCACCCTGAGAGTCCCACCCTTCACACCCCTCACCAAATCTGTCAGTGCTGCATCTTCCACAATCCCCACCTGCTCACGTGTTCAATACACTAATGAATACTTTTAAGTTCTCAGCCAGAATAGTGTTCTTCAAATATATTATGTAATTTGTATCACTGGACATGAAAATATTCAACTGAGTATCATCTTGTAGGAATTGTGAACTATTTACCTTTTTATTCAGTCTACTGCATCCTTTTATTACAGTTCACAGAGCTCTGCAATCAACTCCTCTGGCAGCTGCTATTACAGTCCATCTTATTTAAGAAGGCATAATTTATCTTCCATTTTCTCTTCAATTCCTTTTCCCCTACCCTTGAATATTTTACTTACAGGCTCAGAGGGCACTTGGTGACTGCAATATTTCCTTTGAGATAAGAAAGGCTGTTTTCTGCTGGGCATTCCAAGGAGCCATTGTGGGGCACTTCCAGGGGCAGTTACACCTGTATCCTTCAATACACAGTTTATTCTCATTGTAAGGTCTCCTTTGCTTTCCACAAGCATAACTTTGAGTTTACAGTGATGTTATAGGGCCCTCAACAGTTACAAATATATACTTTTAATACACTGTACCAAACCTGATCCACGCTCTTCTCTTAGGAGCTTTAAGCCACGTGTATCAGCACTATCATGGCCATACACTGAATGAATTGTTTTTCCACAGTTCCTCACATTCTTTGAACACATTAAATCTGGGCAAACCATTTTACTACTGAGTTCTTCCAGGCTGTTGGTAAACACAGTGTCTCAAACATATCCACTAAACTGAACTATGAGAGAAAAGTGAGTTAAATGAGATCACTAAACTCTTCCCAGGGTGAAAGTTAGGGAAGCAGGATCTCACAGGCCAAGACAGCTGGGTTTTGACCCATTTTAAAAACCTTAATCTGCAGGACAGCAGTATGGAACCAGCTACATAGGGTTGGGGTTTTGCCCTTGTTAATTATGTCTACCTGTTTATTAGATATAAGTATCTAATCTATCTACCTGTCTAATTGCCAGGGCCAGCCCTTTTTAAGTCACAGAGACATTTGCAACCACTTCTTCCTCTAGGCCAGTGGCTGCTTTTGGAGACAGAGTGAGTATTTTTCACCTTCAATGTCTGTTTAAGCTCCTTTGCTGAACACAAACTCAGGATGTCACATATACTCCAGTGCTTTACAAGCAAATAGGAATGCATTAAGATTTCCATGAAACAAGCATTAGCAACCTTTGTTTTCCAGATGGGTGAAGGCAGTTCTAAGGCACTTGCCCCAAGTCTCCCAGTGATGGAGAGTGAGGAGGTGTCACCTCCAGGCCTCTCTGCCTTCAGTGCAGTGTTGGGAACGAAGGAACAACCTGCATTGCAGTGTCACTGCCAGCACCTGGACACTGGGATGTCCTTGCTGTCAGGAGAGGGAAATCTCCACCCTTTCCCAACACAACAGAACAGGGAGCACTGCTGGGAGGGCACCCCATGAGTTACAGCCCAAGCTCTCAGGCTCCCACCCATGGCAGCTGCTTATCTGTATCCCAAGGGTCTTCCAGACTGAATTTTGGGGTTTTTTTTGCACAGATCCAATGTTCCTGCAGCACGTGTTTGTAAGTCACACTCCCCATGATCAGCTGAAGGGCTGTGCCCACTCTGCAGGCACAGGACACCGAGGGCCCTGCTCCCAGCTCTGGGGACACAACAGCTGTCAGAAACCCTGGAATAACAGGAACAGTCCAAGAGACACGGTGTGGCCAGCACATGGTGGGCAACAAGAGCCTGGCTCGGTGCTGTGCTGGGACTGTGGGCACAGCCCAGGCCCCTCCACGACCACCCAGGTAATTACCTCAGGAGCTGCACAGCCTCAACACCAAAAATGTTTGCCTTGTTCTTCCAGCCAAGCACAAAATGCAGAGTCAGCAGCTTGAAAGGATCCCTGAGAACCACACAGCAGCCAGGAGAACGTGACAGAACAGGGGAAGGAGCGTCCACTAGAGTTTTTGTGTCTTTAATCAACTCCTCACAGTCACACCCATAATATATAATTCTCAGGACAGCACCTACTGCACTTTTAAAAGAGTTTTTATTAACTTGATTATGTGCACTGTGATGGTTATCCTTAAAATCTGAAAGTGGTCATGGACAGAGGGCTATCTGTAAAAAAAGAATTCCAAAGTATTTCTGTTACATCTCCAACAGTCACCTTCTGGTGAGCTTGTAGTCAAACTCCGGAGGGAGGAACCTGAAAACAAAGCACTGCAGGGGCACCTGTGAGACCCTGCACGGACTGAGGAAAACAGGACAATGAAAATGGCTGGACAGAAGTGACTCTGATCGACTCGATCTGTTGAAGTTCCTTACAGGATGTCAGCAGAGAACAAAACCATTCCAAACCTGGTTCCAGCACTGCTGGTGAATGTACAGTGATAAATGCAAGGAGAGGGTTGTAACTACTCAGAGCAGGCGTGGGGCAATTTCAGAGGGTATAAAAATACACCAACTGCTTGGAGCACACACGTCCTGACACGGGATTGCATAGTTCTGGTGCAAGAGGGAGACACCAGGAGCGAGAAAGGATTTTAAAGCAGCCGATTTCCCTCCGGTAACTCCAGCAAGGGCCCGGTGAGTGCCGAGAGGAGGGAGCGGGGCCAGCCCCGGACACACGAACCGGCCAGGGGGGAGCGCGGCAGGAAAAGCGCCCGAACGGCGGCCCCGGGACACCCTGCCCGGCCCCGGGGGTGCGGGTTCTGTCCCGGCAGCGGCGGCCGCGGCCCCGCAGGGCTGTCCCTGTGTCTGTCCCGGCCCGGCCCGGCCCGGCCCGCGGGCACAGGCCCGGCGCGGAGCGCCCGCTCCCACCCGGGGCCAGGACACGCGTCCCGCAGGGCCCCGCCGGCCCCGCTCGCCCACCCGGCCCGGCCCGGGGCCTCTCCCTCCGCTCGGCCCCGGGATGGGCCGGCCGGGCCCGCGGGCCCCGCGCACGGAGCGGCACCGGCTCCGGCTCCACCCCGCCCTGCCGGGCCCCGCTCAGGGCCGCGCCGCCGCCCTCCCCGTGGCCGCCGCCCTCCCCCGCGCTCCGCCGGCCCGGCCCGGCCCTCGGCAGCCCCGCCCGGCTCCCCATCCCCGGCGCCGCCGCCCGGCCCGGCCCGGCCCCGCTCACCCGCGCCCGTGGTCGCCGCCATCTTGCGCCGCCGCCGCCGGCCCCGCCCCCACGTGACGTCACCGCAACGCGGGAACTGCGGCGGCGGTAGCCGCGGCGCGGGCGGGCTCGCTAAGGGGAGGCCGCGGCGCTTGCTGCGTGGGTGGTTCTGTGGTGCACGCACAGCGCTCCGCAGCTCTGTGATGCGGGCGGGCGTCCCCGGGGTTATCGCCGCCCCGCCCCGCCCCGGGACACCCACCCCGGGGTGCCCAAACACCAGCGCGGTGTCGGGCACTTAACACCCGTAACACTCCAGCACAGCTTCCCCCAGCCCGCTCTGTTTCGTACATACTGTGAAAAAAAAAAAAAAAAAATTAGAAAGGGAATGCGGTCTGCCTTGCGTTGCAACAGATCTTCCAAAAGCTGTGCCCCAAGACTTCGCATGAAAATTTGCAGAAACAATTACGAAGCGAAACGTGTTGGAGACCCCTGGCAGTTTAAGGCGTTTCCTGCAGCGAACCCTGCCAGACTCAGCCTGGAGCAGCGGCGGCAGCCGAGGAGCTGCTCTCGTCCATTGTTCCTCGAAGCTGCTTTAGAACTTCGCCTCGCTGCTTGGAGGGCATTTCATCGAATAAAGTTTCATTTTACCCGCGGCTGAGCGCGGCGCTGGCTGAGAGCAGCAGGAGGGCAGCTAGATGGCATGAGAGCCCAGCCGAGCTGGATCGCGACTGGAGAGCCCAGCCGAGCTGGATCGCGACTGGAGAGCCCAGCCGAGCTGGATCGCGACTGGAGAGCCCAGCCGAGCTGGATCGCGACTGGAGAACCCAGCTGAGCCGGCCAGGGCACAGGGACTAAAGGACCTGGAGAACCAGGTTTGGCACTGAGCAGACAGAACCCCTTCTTGCTGCAAGAGGGTTTTTCCCCCCCCTTTTTAATACACTGCAGAACAAAACCATGCCAAGCGAACACTTCTGGCCCTGCACCTGTGCGGTCTGGAGGCTGCTCAGGATCCCCTCCTTCCCAGTCTGCCACCACTGCCTCCCGCCTGTTCCCAGCCAATGCCAGCTCCGAACAGGCTCTGTATTTGTCCCCAGGGTGTCACAGAGGCAGCAGACAGGTCAGGGCTGCAGACAGATGGGTGGGAGAACACGGATAATTAACCCAGGAGCAAAATGGAACAAAATGGGAGAAGTTGAGAGCCCTCGGAAAGCTGAGCAGTCTGACTTGTGTCCATAAGAACCTCAAAGCAAACACAAACCCTCAGTCTGTCCTGGCTTAAGAAATCCCTGAGTGGGATTTTAAGGCTCTTTGCAGTAATTTTTTCTCAATTTAATGCAGTGCAACACTTCCCCTTGGAGCTGTGTCCCCAGACAGCTCTGTCTGTAGGGCCTCTGCAGCATCATGGATCCACCTGCTCCTGGGATTCAAGTAAGGAATTCCACCTGCTCCTCCAGAGGCCCTGTGTGACCACAAGCTCACCGGGGGCAGCTGCAGTCTGGGCAGAGAGCAGGAGCCTGAGAACAGAGTTTTTTGTGGAGGTGAGACTGAAATGAAAGAGCTTTTAAAACATTTAAACTGAAATGCTCTCTGTGGAGTTCAACAGGAGTGCCTTATTCTGCTTCAGCTCTAATCTGTTCCTAATCAACTTAAGACAAATTTATCTTAAGCCAGATTTGCAGCTGTTAAGAAGGATCCACACAGCCCTTTGCTCCAGAATTGCCATATTGGTTTTGTGGAAAGATCCACATCTTTAAATGGGCGAAACAGGGGCCCTGGGAGCCGTGTCAGGAGTGAAGAGTCACGGAGCCAGCTCAGCTTCTGGAGCTCAGCACAGCATCCCATGGAAAACTGCATCTGGAGATTAACTGCTGTCCCAGTTTCTCATAATTAAGCAAGATTAACAGATAAATAGTCCCAGCAGCCACCAGTATGAGTAGCTCAGATTTGTTTCCAATAAGGCTCAAGAGGCCAAGAGAGGTTTGGGCAGCTGCAGCTGCCTTTAACAGCACTTTAGACGGACAAATTCTAGTAATTTGTGTGTCCCAAATCCATTTGTTACATCCACTGTGCCACTGCTGCTCACTTGGCATTTCAATCTGCAGTGAAATGAGCTCTCACAGGAGCCAGTGCTTCAGGCTGTTTTACACAGGAGCCCTGAGCACCCACCCAGTTCTGTCCTGGGCTTTGACACTGGTTTAGTTAACTCAAACTGGGGTCAAGGGTGAGGGAAAGGAGAAGAAAAGGATGAGGGCAGGAGGGACAGACAACTAAGGACCACAGATCTGTTAGAACAGGGATTATGGGAGTCTCAAGATAGAAGCAGGTATGAACATAAACTTTTGGCAAGATGGTATAAATACCATCCCCTGCAGTGCTTTGTGCTCATAGCAAGAGATGTTTCTAAGCACTCAGTTGGAGTTACTCCTTCGCATCCAAAGCAGAATTACTTAATTACTTGCACTTGTTGAAAGGTGTAGAAGGTGGTATAATACAGGCTCCTACAACACTGACAAATGTTCACTGCGACCTAAACAGGACATAACAGGCCGACAGGTGTCTCAGGGGGCTGGAACTGCACAAAATGTTTTGCAGTCAATGATTTTGAGTTCCTGCACTAAGTGCTGACAATGTATCAATGAAGAACGGCAACAAGACTTAAACATGATTAGTATTATCCAACTGCTTTGTTATAAATATATTATATACATTCAAACATCACATTAAAATATTATTCCATTACACCAGAAGAGATTAAGGCTTTATATTATTTACAGAAACAAGCAAGCACCTTAAAAAAAAAAAAAAAAAAGAACAAAACACCAGTCATTGACATTTCCCTTCTAACATTACAAGTTTGATACCTTGAGCTCTTGAATACAGCTATTTGCGGTGTGCCCAATGCTAGAACTAGTTTAAACATTTATTGTCAGGGTAGGAAACACTTAATAGCAGTGAGCACTCCACACGAGCAGGTGTTGTACGGGGTGCCCTCCCTCCTCAGAGGCTCCTTAAGTTGAAGGCTTATGTAGAAATGGTTTGCTCAATTCCACGTGGAGAGTAGAACAATTTTATTTTAAGGGAAGCTGAAGACACTTGAGGATTCGTGGCCCACTGGAGGAGCAGGATTCTCAAAGTCTGTTCCACATGACATCAATTGGATTTAACATGATAGTGAAGACAGAGCTGCACGCTGATCAATCACAAAGTGCACTGAACAGTCATGATTTTCTGGGCTCCCCCTGCCCTGACACTGCTCTCATGCAGAGCACTTGGACACAGAGTGACAAACCCTTGTCACCACTCTCCCTATAGGACTTAGGCAACAAGCTATTTTGGAAGTGTTAAATAATGTTGATACAACACACGTTTCCTACACCACCACGTACCACTGGAGTGACTGTCCTGCCCTCGGGCTGCCCGACAGCTCACGGACACAGCACGTTCTAATGTGTAAGCAGACATGGCTAAACAAAAAGGTGCTCAGTGAGAGTAATCATCTTCATTTCAAGTATTGTTTTAAGAATTAGTTCTTTTCATTGCAGTCTGTGTTAGCACTTTTTAGTTTGTGCTTTAGAGTCTGTTATTTCTTTGCAGGTCTTGAATTTGGCTGATGGCTTTATTTTTTTTTTTCTTTTAAAAACAACATTGGCAACAAGTTAAGGATTGCAGAAGGCTGGCAAAAGTTATTTGATTTTCTGAGCCCATTTCATGTCATCTGCTCTTGGCTTCTCCCCAGTAAGTCCTTGGATGATGTTCTCCAAACACCTCCAGAATCTTATCTTCTCTAATGGATAGTTCAGCCAACCTAAGGGATTACAAAGGAAAAAGAGGATTAGCTTGTCAGAGCATCCAAAGTTCAGCTAGTCCAAGACTGCTAATAATGGTCAGGTTCAACTTTCAGGACCTAGTAGGACTGAAAAATAGCTCTTTGAGTGGCAAGATTTTTGCCATCATCTGTCAAGTCAGGCTTCTTAATTGTATCGTGTTTCTACACGACATTCTGCTAATGAGAACTAGATTTGTTTCTTGGCAGAGGTTTCAAAACCCACATGAACTGTTTGTCAAAGCCAATGACAGAATGAAGAACTACAGTGGTTTATTTCCTGCTGTCTGATTAATCTGATAACTTATTTAGGGTTGTGCAACACTGGTCACTGGGCATTCCCACCTGTCCTGTGGGCATAATATTGAACACGGATATAACAGGAAATCAAAGGTAGCAACACCTGTCTGCTCCTCTACCCTGAGACAGAATGAGTGGATGCTGAAAATCCAGAAGCCTGGCTTTAGAAATGAGCATTCCAGACCAGCTGCAGATGAAATGCTCTCTTGAAGAAACAGCAGCTTGAAGACTTTAGTGAACAAAACCCACTAAGGCATGAGCTTACCAAAACTCCAGTCCATTGGATCCCAGCACCACTATTCCCTCAGGCTGCAAGCTGAGGGAATAGTAAGTGGTGCTGAGATCCAATGGACTGGAGTCTGGGACTATTCCCTTTAGCTGATCACAAACCTTCCCCCCACATCTTTTATGCAACAAAAGCAACTCCAGTTTTACTAAGAGCCTGTGCAGTAAGAGCACAGTTAACTTCATGCCATTTTCCAGTTTAATAGGCTGTCCCTAAGCTACATCTCAGCAGGTGAACTGCACTCCAGGGAGGCTGCAGCACGACCCCAGGGGCAGTACCAGTGGTGATGCAGAAGTAGGTCTCGTGTGGAGACACATGATGGATCCTGTGGTGCTTCCTGGGCAGGATAATGTGCCAGTCCTGCAGGAATATGACCCAGCGTGGGAGCCCAAAGTACGTGTGGGACCACTTGTGGATCTGGTTCGTCATGGTGATGAAGATGATGAGTGCGAAGACGTAACACTCCCAGGGACACGTCTCATACAGTGCCTCTGCAAAACAAGATGTGCATCTGTAAACACCAGTTATGAAAAGGCAAATTTCTGCTAGGACAATGGCTGGTGCCACAGGACCTAACAAAGGCCTCAACGAGCTGCTTTGGCAGAAGTGTCACAAGAGCCAGTGAGCCATAAGCAATTCCCAAATGTCACAAGACAGGCTGGGAAGTGCCAACATCTGTGA